TCTCATCAAAAATAGATGAAATCCAGCATTTACAGGAAGTCTTATCAACGTAGATCAGTTGTTGCAACATTTTCCCTTAGAAAATACTTGGCAAACAAGTTGGTAAGCTATGTCAAAGGATCTCTATTCCAGTGGAAGAATTGGGAGCACCAAGCAAGCAATCCTAGTAACATTTAGTGCTGTAGAGGACTTTCACCTGCACTAATGAAACATCTAACAAGGAAAAGGTCTACTTTTTCCTTTTTTAAAAAGGATTAGTATCATAAGCAAGGAATTTCTGTATATTGCTCAAAATAAAGGTAATTAACAGCCTTAACGTAACAGATAGTACAAGAAATCTTAAAAAGGACACTTATGTCAGGTTTTGCCTATATGCCATATACACATATCTTTACCCATGTTTCCAGCTTAACTAGTTTGTAGCCTTGTAACTACAGGGATCTTTTTAGTCAGCACTGAATGTGAAAGCCCTCTAATGGCTACAGGGAAAACATCATCTATAGCAGATCTGAAGCCTACCTGCCCATCACAGGGCAGCTGCTCAAGGCAACAGCGTCCTGCCCTATGATGACATTTTTCTCAGTGATTAAAAGACACTTCCTTCAGAAATTTCCTAGTATGTGTGTAGGAGAAAGGAAAATGCTTTAAGGGTATATCACAAAGCTTTACAGGGAAAGAATTAAAACGGCCAAAGCACAACTCGAACTTAAATCTGAGTATTGCTATAAAAGACAGTAAAAAGTGTTTCTACAAATACATTATCAACAAAAGGAAGGCTAACGAGAACCTCCATCCCTTATTGGATGGGGGGGTGGGGTGGGGACAGACACTTAGTGACAAAGAATGAAGAAAAGGCTGAGGTATTTAATATCTTCTTTGCCTTAGTCTTCAGTTAGTATACAGTGAGTATGGCAAAACACTGGCACAGGTTGCCCAGAGACACGGCAGATGCCCTCATCCTTGGAAACATTCAAGATGAGGTTGGACAGGCAACCTGATCTACTTGAAAATGTCCCTACTCACTGCAGGGAGGTTGGGACTAGATAAACTTTCAAGGTCCCTTCCAACCCAAACTATGATTTTACAGTTCTATGCACCATTTTTTCCCCACAGAAAAAAAGTGGACCTCCATTAATTGGAGATTCTAACCCTAAATTGTTCTAGGAAAGCTTTACAAGAAGCTTAAGAATTCCTTAAACACCTATTCATAGTATACCATGTGAATCAGCACAAGGGGGGAGAAAAAAAAAAACTTTATTTTTTGGGGGGTGGGGGGTGAAGAAGGGTGGAACACAGCTCAGCAAAATAATATTCCTCTAAATTTAAGATAGAAAGCATACACAGGTTAAGGCCAGACTTCTCTTGAATGGGGTAGGGGGAAAGGAATGCAGCCTCCCTGGTAGTTCAAGAAATATACTGAAATTCAAACACAAATTACAGAAAAACTCATAGGTACAGGTTAGCAGCTAAAAGCTCATTTACAAACATACAGCCTAAGCAGAGCAGGAGTTTTGCAGACCTATAGGTAGAACAGTGTCTTACAAGCACTTTCACTGTTCCAAAAATATACTGACTGTAGAATGCATCTTCACTGGGCTACGTATTCAGAGGTTTTGAGAGATATTACAGTTTTAATTATGCTGCTAGTCCTAAAACAATTCCTGTACAGTTTAAGAAAATTCCCCATTTTCAACTCAAGACACTATTTTACAGTAACATTAAATCTAAGCACAGCAGTGAGGACAGGTTTTACTAGAGCCTCCCAATCCTAACCTAAAAGGATGAACCACCCTTTTTTTTTTGTATTTGTCTTGAGCACCAAATACACCAAAGTTCACACTACTGAGGAAAAAAAAAAAAAAGAAAAAATGGAAACAAAAACCCCTCTGAATTTAGTCACAGGAGCTAAACCAGAACAGTCACTTGGGCAACACAAAGGCCTTTTAAACTCCGATGGTGCCTTCTTTCTTAGGAAAAGTTAGTGAACTTCGAGTAGAAATGTAATATGAAGCTGTACAAGACTGTGAGCTAGTTAGGCTTTTTCTTGAGGTGTACAATTCATCTGAAGCCCTGATACTCTTTATAGCCTAGATTTTTTAGTTTGTTTTCCCTCCCTCAGCTACTTAGTGGCAAACAGTAAAGCTTTTCAATTACACAACACTGATCCTAAAATACCAGTCTACCAAGTCATTCCTGCAATTAAAACAAGACTGTATACCTGGTTAGAGGACTTGAAAAACAATTTGTTCCATTGACGCATGCAAAATAAAACCCTGTAGAAGGCAAGGAAGGGAAAAATCTTTGTTTCTTTGTAGCATTTAAGGATCAGATCACCTTCATGTAGAACCAGAATTTAGTACCTTGGTTTAGCACACAAATACCTAAAAGGGAAAAAAAAAGTTCCATTTTGACAAGGAACTAGTGTCTGTGTCGGACAATCATTCTAATGGAGATCCAAGAACATCATCTGGCTAGTTGTATCATTCTAGGAATAACTGTCAGGTGACAAAGCTTGTAAATAGAGTATGAAAAGGCCACAGCACAAAGCAGCTCATTTGGGACACGTCAGGTAAGAACCATAAAAGAAACAAGTGTCATAGCTCTGTAATACCAAGTATATGCAAGCACTCCATTTTTCTACCTTGCCTGAATAATTGTTTAACAAAAAGCTGACTTACTATTGAAAAGAGACTTGCATCATTTGGGGTCCCATGCAATGTACATACTCTGAACAAAGGCTGAACAAGAACTCAGTACTGTGTGCTAGTTAACATGGTCCACTTGAGTTGGTAATACAAGAGATACAAATTTGCAAGAAGCACCAACTGTGCACCTTTTACAAATGCCTTCAGCTACAGCAGTATTAAACAGATGTTTTGACTTTCTGAATGCAACACAAAAAAGATTTACCTACTGTTTTTGTGTTACGCTTATAGGATACTTCAAAAGAACATTAAAAATGCATGCTCTTAGTTATAACTTGTTACTTTTACCGGCATATACCACAAAATGTACAATTCCCAGATGGAAATAAAGAGATTGGTTTCCTACAGGTGAGAAATGGCTAACAAAACCAGCACAACATGATCTAATGGAAGAGAAAATAAATGGTACTCTTAAGGCCTGGGCTATGCATTTCACTGTGACAAGCCATCTCAGCATGCTTGTAAGATTAGTTCATACCTAGCAGCACCACTTGAAACATACTGAACAATCAACTCGCTCACCAGATGGTGGGTCCTTCAGGTAACACTTGGTCAAATAAACATAAAATATGCTCTCTATGTAGCTATCTTCTGTTTTATCTCTTTCTTTGGGTGTTGAGGCTCTTCAATGAACTACATACAAACACTTTGTTTTCTTATAGCTACAGCATAAAGCCTCAAACACATCCCAGGGCAATCAAGCCAACTAGAACATTAAAACGAAATGAAATGTGCATTTGCAAAGAAACAATTACCTTTATCAATAAACTGACATCACAGCTTTAAACAGCCTAAGTAGGCTGGTTTAGGTACTTAGGAGTTACAAAGCAAAGGGTCCTCGATAGCCAGCAAACTCCAGATTTATTCTTAAAATAAAAATACTGAGTTTAGCTGCATAACTGTAGAATTTATATATAATCAAGCTACTATCTTTAAAACTGTAGTCTTGAGAAAACTATGGCAAATTGGTATTATGGGAACACTTAATGCTATCTTTAGTGACATGGAACAGAGCAAATGTTAACAGCTTTGCTTTTTCAGGTCAATGTATGCTAACAGAACATTAGTATTATTCTTCATAAAGCAGCTCTAAAACATATAATCATTTCTACCCCCACCCCTTTCTTCATTAAGGAAATTCCATCCACCAAAACACTCCTGAGAAGCAGTTCTTGGACATTTTTCAAACTGCAGCCATATTCCCTCACATGTCCAGGTCTGCAGCAATGTTCCCTTATGTGCATTTCACTAGCATCTACTTCTGGGGAAGTCTTTTCCTAGCCATTACTACTTCCAGAAATTTGAAGCTGAACATGCAGTCCCGTTCAAGCTCATGCATATATCCTCGACCAGAGAGGCTTAATTCTAATTCCCTTCTTAGTCTCCCCTTTAGGGAGACTGAGATGCTGGAGTAGGAAGAAAAAAAGCAGGCTAGAGCCCAACATACAGACTAAACACAGTTCTCAATTCTACTCTTTCAAAATTGCAGCTATAAACTATACAAAATGAAGTTTGTTACTGTGAATGTGTAGTAACTCCAGTTCTCATATAGGGTAACAGATCTCCAACAGCTTCAACAAATCTTTAGTATACTACATGTCTTTCTTAAGGTAGCTTAAAATCGGCTCTATCATTGTATTAGCACATCACCAGAAGTTTCAGAAGCAAAGTCAAAATAAAAATTTATTTTGTTTCAAAATATGCAACTAAAAATACATAATTATTAAAAGTCATACAGATATTCTTTGATTAACAGTTTGCATCACATAAAGGCATATTTTAAAGGCATTTTCTCACAATTTTAACATGCAGGTATTGCTAAAATTTGTCAAGTAAAAAAGCATACTCTGAGTAGCCAACAGAGCTAATTACATACTTGCATCTTAAGTTAGATATAGGAATTTTAGGATTCTCCTAATTACTCTCCCAAAGCTAGTATTGATGGTCAAGACTGCAGGTACATAAACTGTCATTAATGAACATAACCACATTGATTAGGTAGTCTAAGACAACCAGGACTTAAAGGGCTTCAGCTGAGTTACAACTTGACATCTTCCACTTCACTGATTAAGAGCTCAGTTTTAAAATACAACCTCTTGGGCAAATAACTACTTCCATTTTTAACTGGAAGAGATAACCAGTCAGGATTAGTCACTTAAAACTGTGGTTTAACAAAAAATAGGTGTAACATGCAAACTGTATCTTAGAACTCAAAAGAAAACCCACATGCAAACAAACCAAGAGTGTTTTTTCCAATACAAACTCTTAAACGTGCCAGTTAATTATCAGGGGAAGCATGCAAACAATTAATAAAACATGGAAGTTTGTCAACTATTACAACTTTAAACTTCAAACTACTCAAGTAAAGCCAACTGTATTGAAACAGGCAGAACAAAACACAAACTTCAACTTGAAGCAACCTTCTGAAAAACATCATACTGCATTGCCAAACTGAACTGTAGTAACATCAAGTCAATGAATTTAGATACTTTGAAGCTTTTGTTGATCAAGCACTTTCATCTGCCTTCATTGATCAAATACTTTTGAGTACTGCTCTTCCTTTTCTGAAGTGATGTGCTTTCCTCTCCTGGAAGAGGACAGACAGGAAAAAATTTCTAGGTAATGACCACAATAAAGCAACTGAAGTTTCAGAAGTATCTTAATACCTTCTGCACTCTATTGCCACTAGTCCCTCTAAAACTAGCAAATAAATGGCTTCTGTATTCCTGTTTCAGGGTACATGTGCCTAGTTCACATGTCTGTCCTTTTAAAAAAAGGATGCAAAGTCTTAAACAGGAATACCAGCAGGAATATAATCAGAAGCTGCAATTCTACAAAGACTGAACACATAGCAAGAATGTGATGACCAGCTATCAACCTGGACTACAGTTTATTGGTTACAGCACAGATGTTATACTTCGTAAGGAGAGCTACAACACACAGTGGATACTTAACTGGTGTACAGACTATCAAGGCTCAAACTCAACATCATCTAACTAAACTAGGGAATAACCCACTGCCCCTTCAGCAATGTCACTGAGAAATGATTACCCAGCCTTATACTCAAGTATCCATGGGTTGCCTGTTCAGCATTTTATGTAGTCTTCATTAAATCCACCAAACCCAACTTCAGCATGTATCTCCAGCATTAAGTAGCTGAGAGCCAAACCCACACATCACAGAGCACATCCAAGAAGAAAAAAACATTCTAGATATGCATCCCTTCATCTTTATGGTGTATTGTAGGTGAACAAGTTTAAGGTCATCTGTGTTTTAGGGATTTAATTTTGCTTCCACTACATACCTTAGGGTAGTCTTCTTGAGATACAACAGTGCTCCTCAGACGGTTCTCAGGATTAAACAGACAGGATACTACTGTTTGTATGCTCCTGTCCACAGACTTCTGAAATACAGTTACAGGTGTATCTACAACCATACTGACTTTCTTAGCCCAATAGTAGCAACGCATGTCTGTCACAGAGTTTACTTTTCATTCAGGATTCTTCAATTGCCTTATTTGCTGAGCTCTTATTTATCTGCTTTTAATCCTGGTAACTTCATTATTACCCTTAGATTTTACAAGACAGCATTTCTAACCAATGACATGCCAGTTTAGCTGTGGAGTAGGCAAACAGCTGAAAAATGAGATCTCCTTTAGAATTCAGAGCCAGCGGTCAGCCAAATTGGGGTCACCTTCTCTGAAAAGTGAAGAGTGTTACCAAAAATGTTACCAATTCAGGTATTTCAAGCTAAAACTAAATCTGCATAATATTGCAGGCAGTGCTACCTCACCTACATTTTAGTACCTGCAATTCCCCGTAAGTCTCAGCAGATTAAGCATAATGACTTAAAAATATTATTGAACTTAATGAAGTCGAGCACACATTTCATAGACTTCAGCACTACAGGCAAGCAGTAGCAGTTTCAAGGAAATTTGAGGCTTCTGAAGTTGTACTCAAAAAATCAGATACAGTAGGTGGAGCAAATGGCTAAAGCAGCAACTATAACCTTAATTTCTACGATACTGGTCAGAGTGCCTCTTCACCAACCCACACAATGCTCACATGCAAATTTCTGGGAACAGGATTTATGGCAAAACACTGAAGTTTCGAGAAAGCACTTACCTTTTGTGGACTATGAGTAGACAACTGTGTGGGCTCTGGAACAGCACATTCTGTCTGTATAAATTCTGGATCCTCAGTGCAGTGGTAGCTTACTGAAGTATAAACCTGTAGAGTTTAAATATTGCAGTGTTTCAGTAACACTGGGAAAACATGCACAGTTGTGTTGTCACTGGTCCTCATTTACCCATAAGCTATACCAACCTTGTGAAACTATCAGAAGTGTGAAGGCAAGTGGGGGAAATACTATATGCTGCTTTAAGAAAAGTCTACTTCCTTCCAAAAAGGGCATATTTTAATAGCTGTCTCCACTGTAACCACTCAACAGTTAGCTCCTCAACCTACTTCTTCCATGTATGAGGTTTTTTTGTCAAGCATAATGGATAATGAAGGTGTTCACCAAGAATGAGACAACCAGCAGTAACTTCAAGAGATTAAAGTACTAAAATTGAACAAGAGGGGAAGCAAAGAATCGTCGACCACTGCCCTTCCAAGAAGCTGCTTTGCTCTATACAGATCCTTTCTTGTCTGAAGCTTTCTCCATGCCAATATAGTTAAAATAGTAAAAAGACCTAGAAAAGCACAAGTTATTTTATGTTTTCTTTTAGAAATTCCCTGCCTCCCTCTGCCAACAGGGCAGTGTTACAGTCAGCAACCAACTGCAGAGTTAAATTACAATAACCAAGAGGTTGATAAAGCATCTATTATGAAAATATCCTTCCAGATGCTTCCAAAGAGGACTGGCAGTTTTTACAGCTAATTTCACTGGGTACTCAATGGCAGGATTAAGCATCCTTAGTTTCCAGGAGCCAAACTCCCCATCCCACCTCCATCCCCAAAGTAATCAGGTTCAAACACACTTGACAGTAGTTTCCAGTTTCTTGTAACATCATTCTTAATGTTATTTGTGATTATACAAAGCGAACACCAGGTGTACCACCTGACATTCCCAAAAGCACTTCAACACCGAAATGGTAATCTCAAACTGATAATGGGAGATACAGTATTAACAGACTTCCTTTCCAAGCACCACTCCTAACTTTCATCAGAAGAGGCATCATATCTGACCTCATCACAACTGGGGCATTCCACTTATGAATGGAAACTGAATAGCCACTGAATAGGTATGTATAAAGCAGCAGACCAAGAGATGGAAGTTTCCCATCTCATTACAGGCCTGCCCTCTTGACTCTGCATGAAGAAGGGTACTTAAAAGATGCTTAACAGTTCTAAAACAGTTGTCTGCTCATATAATAAAGCTTAAAACATTCAATGAAAACCATCATGCACACCCACTCTAAATACTCTTCAGCTTGCTATTATCTGATTGTGTTGTACTGCTGCTGTATCATATCCATGGATGTCATTCAACACAAATTATTTCAAGCCAACAGGTTAATCAGTATTTCAATGACTTCTGAAACCTTTTGAGTGTTTCTACTCAAGGTAGGTCTCATTAGTAAGAGACTTTCCATGAAAAGAAAAAGGCTGCATCTCTGCTGAGAAGCTAAAAGCAAATTATTAGTACACATGACTGGCAGTCAGCAGGAATATTCTCCTAATACGATCAGACAGAACTGCCAAATGCATGCAGGCAGCAATACAGATGCACAAAGTTCTATTTTTCTTCATTTTTCCCCCCATTTATCTTACACATTCTACAGACATCTGCTGGGAATTAGCTTGAAAGAATAGTGTTCAGAAGAAAATTAAGTATTACAGCTTTTAAACACTTAATGGAAACTGTACTCAATACAGGATTATACACACAACACCCCAAGATGCAAGTTTAAGCTCCAACACTTTTAAAGAAATACACAGTATTTTTTCCTCTTGTGAATGTGTGTAGAGTCACACAAAGCAAGTAATTTTTAGAAGCTATCAGCACCATTTACAGCTTGCAGCAGCCTGGGAAGTAATTTTAAAAGCTGTTGAAAAGAGCCAAAAATTATCAGTATTTGCAAAGCAGAGTATTTTGAGGCTTTTTTACATAATTTGGAACAGTAAGCAGTAATATTATACAGATCTTTAAGTCAGACTTGTGCATTGGGTCACCACTTACTTTTCCTTCAACCTTTCATGAACAAACCAATTCTGTTCATGTTGAAATTCCAGAATTCTGTGACCAGAACACATGGAGTAACACCATAAAACAGGTAGCTCTGCTCTGCCAAGCAGCTCCTAAAAGAACACCATGTCAGTAGGAAGCCCTAAACAGCTACCTACTGTCAGCAGCTACAGATTTGTATAGACCAGATTACATACAGCTCCAGCCAACAAACAACAGTTATTTTGATTGTCATTTAAAGTACCAACTTGTCAAACCAGTGCACTAATTGAGAAGACAAAGTTCCAAAAGTTTAACATTGTAGACTTACCGGAGGCATAACATAGTTTCTTTGCTCCCCAGCAAGCCACTGTGGTTGAACCTTAAACAAAAATTGGACAAAACCCAGCCTTTATTCATTTGGTTCCAACACAAGCAAGCAGCTGCTCTTTAAGAGCAGCATTTATAACAGTTTATGTCTGGATTTTTCACTGAACAGTAGTTTACAATCTTCTATCCAGCAAGACAGCTTTTTCACATGTACTTCACATAGCACTTAGCATAAGGGTCACCCTTACCAAAGATTCAACTATCTTCTTCCTCTTCTGATTCCAAGGTTTTCTCAAAAATAAGATTTCTGAACTTTAGAAAAATAGGTGAAATCACAGCAGCCACACTGAAAACATCTCAAACCTCTATTTAATTCCAGTTACTAAACTATTTCTTGTTTAGCTTCAGTAAGAGGACTTAGAAACACATTTCACTTACAAGTTCAAAATCACTGTCAGTGAAGTGCCTTCCAAGACCTTTTTAGAGCTCAAAAGCACATCTCCCCTAAATACATCCCACATTTTTACAGACTGGTAAGACTTAAGTGCTTGTTTTATGTAACATCAACTAGCTGCACTATAGTATGCAAAGCTCCTTCCCATGAGAAAAAGTATTACTGATCCCTGTACTTTCTGCTGATTTGGAAATTGATTTATCATTGATTATTTAAGAGAAAAAAAAGTATCAAACTGAAGAGCATGCTAAGTTGTTCAGCAGTTTTCACTGCATTAGAACAAAAATATCACCAATTTTGTTTTTACTTTTGGTTTGTGAAGCAGGAGCTGAAAGGAAAAAGAATTCCCAGAAAGAGAAACACAGAAAGGTCAGACTCCAGTTAACACTGTTCATTTCATTCAACCTTTTTGCCAGGTATCAAGAGCCTTTCTGCTGCTACTAAAGAATTACATACCTGGTAGTTGTAGGCTGGCTGATAACCCACAGGAACCTGCTGCTGTATCAATACAGCTGGTGAACAGTATGGGTATGTCTGCAAATAAAGTTCAGGGTTTTTTAAAAAAACAAGTTTAAGCAAGACAGGAGTCAGGACCACATTTTTAGATGTGGTCACATTGTTGTTTCAATCCCCATTTCACACTAGCTTCATTACTTCAAAGCACCCTTACAGCTTTCCAGTGGGGCTTCAGCACTTCAGGCACTAAAAAAACTCTAGAATGTGGGATTCTAAATATGTATCTAAAAATCCCACACCTGGTTGTAGCTGATCTTTTACTTCATTTCAGAAGTACAACTCATCCTGGCCCAACTACCATGAAATAAGGGACTACAGCCTGAAGATCAGTTTCTTGGAGCAAGAGCAAGACAAGTATTACAATTCAGATATTTCCCAGCATTTTTTCACCACAAGTATTTTGACACAATGTTAATCTGGAACCTTCTCAGCTTCTTCAGAGAACAGTTAAAGGCACATTCCAGCGTTTAAGACAATTAGTTCCTCTTACACTATTTCACTCTCCCACTAAACTTGGGAAGAACCAGCAAGTGTACTATCAAGATCTCTGCCTTGGAAAAAAATATTTCTGCAAGTCATTTCTATTTGCTCATTCATTTACTTAATGAAAATATACAAAATAGAATCAGCTTCCAGTTAATACTGCCCTGTTGTACTGCCATATGATATAGTGTTAATATAGAAAGATGGCATAACCTGTAAAGCCTTCTCTTTGCAGTACAGGGCTCGTAACAGGACCTGAAGTACTCTGCCTACACCTCAGTAAGAATGCTTATCTGAAACACCAATAAAGTGACACCCTGTAGACATACCATACTGGTCACAGCTGTTATGAGCAGATGCCACAACTGTTCTTAAACACAAGAGCAGTTCAGAAACATGAATTTCTTCAGGTAGAAGGAAACATTACTACAGGAAGCTTTGAGTTCCATACTAATTTTTTTAAAAAAAAAAGAAAAAGCTTTTAAGTTCTGTGGTTTAATCTGAGCCAGGGCAGCAGTATGTTAAACATCCGGATGCATTTGATTTTTGAAGTGCATCTGTGACAAGTAGCCATTTATATAGTTAAGTTACATAAAGTGCTACATATTATATAATTGAACATTATATAATTAAAGTTTGCCCCACAGCTTTCACATTCTCAAAATAGAATGTATCTCCACCTTTCGGTTTCTTAAGAGATGACATCACTGACTAAGTTTTTCAAAGTTACTGGCATTCTCTTAAAATGGCTTGATTTTGGGCACTGCTTATTGGGGAAGGTAATAAGAAAGCAAGAGGGAAGATGAGACTGGAGTCTTGATACATATTCCCGAAGTTGTATGTGCTTTCGCCTTCAAAAACACTTAATTATGATCCAAAATCAGTGTCATGAACAGCCTTACCTGAACATACTGGGTTACTGGGCTCATTACAGCTGGAGGCTGCATGTATGTCTCTGTATTTTGATTTCCCCATACACTATGGAACTGTGGTACAGGAGGATTGAAGACTAATGGTCTGGGATGCACGTAAGAACCTTTTTTTTAAAGCAAAGAGAAGTATTAAAACATCTTAACATGTATTTCATTACGTATCTGAACTCAGATTGCAAAAAACCCAAGTGTTTTGACTCTTAAATTTAATGCAACATTAACTATATTGTGTACTACTAGAAACCCGAGTTTATTATCAAAACTGTACATCACACAAGTAGCAAGGTCATAAAATTCAGAACTGATCAGATAAAAAGGAAATGCGAGGGTGTTAATGTAGACTCAAGAGAAACTGTAATATATGCATGTCATATCAACAAATTTGTGCATGTATACTTACATAAGTTTTGTTGCTTTCTAATCGCTGGCCCCAGTTTCAGCTTTTTGCCGTGGAAGTTAATTTGCGACTGAAAGACAGGTTATTTTGTAAGCTGGGGAATCAGCGAGGCAAGTTGTTTGCTTGATTTTAAGAGACTGTACTTTGCTTCTATCACCCACTGGTATACAGACTCAACAGCCTCCGCTCTCCTCTTCAAGAACTTACATCCTTTATCTTTAATTTCCTGTAATGCTCTCAGCAAATTGTTCTAAGCACCAACTCTGCAAACCTATTATGTATCAATTGCCTTTATAGCAACATCCACTGACAGTAGTTTGCAACTGCCTATTAGTGACTGTCAGCCTTCTGGTTTCGTAACACAGATTTGACAATTCTTGCCTCAGTGATGATATTAATGTAGAGTAACCACAGTCTGGGTTCCCCTGAAACCCTACACTTGAGTGATATTACAAACTGAATTAGACCCAAATCAGAAGAAAAGTACTTTCAGGTTGCACAAAGCTACAGAGCTAGGCAGATCAACATAGGCATCTAGAGCGGTTTTAACCATGCAGCTCTACCTTGTTCAGTTACGTAGAGCATTGGGACCACTCAGTACAGGTAATGCCTGAAATGAAGCGGAGATCACCTCGCTGCACGTGACTAAAGTTCTAAAATGCAGATGTTCATTCTTTTCCTTTTTCCATCCTCTCCAAAAATCAACACCTTTGTAAGGTTATTTCTATCTGGACATGCTTCTTCTCAAGAAGAAATGTGTACTGCCTGTACACCCAAAACTTGTGCTGAGAAGCAAATTTGCCATATACCTCTTGGTCTTTCAAGATTTCTGGCATACATACATCAATACTGTATTAATAGATATACACTAAGGGCTTTCAGCTTTGAAGAAATGTACACAGAAAATCAGCAATGTACATGGCTCAAGTGACAATGCTACTTGAGAGGCTTCTATAGAGACTGTTGCCTCAGAGCAGGCGTTCCACACTGATCTAGTACAGTAAGAAGGATTCTCAGTCAAGTCTGTAGCTCATTACAGCAGTATTTCTGTCAGCATCCCATGAGAGTTAAGGAATAGGAAGCTTTTTAAGTGTTTTGGCAAGAATCAAAAATCTCCTGCTGGAGCTTCACTGCTTTCCTCTTCATTCAAACATGCTCTCTTCCCCCTTAAGGAGCTCGACAGCAGGTAAATACACCTGAACGTACCATAAAACACTAAATTTGTGCCTGGATTTGTCTTTTAGATCTACTTCACTACCTGAGAGCTTCAGAAGCAAGCAAGAGACTGTTTAAAGACCTGGAAGTTTCTGATGCAAAGTTCAGAGAGGGAAATATACATGTTTCCCCCTTTCGCCTAAAACTAAGTGCAGCAACAATGAAAACAGTAAGCTTTCAGTGCATTTTGGAACCTGCTGAAAGCTACGAGAACAGCAGGTTTGATCATAAGCACCAAGATTTAAAATTTCTGATAATGAACTCTTAAGACCAGAAGGGCTGCAACAGTTCTACCCCTTATCTCCTGTGTGAGCCACAGGAAAATTGTATGAAATGTGAACAGTTACATCTTGTAGTCAAGGAGGCTTAACACACACTTGCACTCCAGGTAGGATCCAAATGCACAAATAATTCAAGAGAAACACATACTTCAACTGCTGAAATGTAAGTAAAACACACTAATACTATCTTTCTGTTACCTGAATTCCCAATAATATTCCTGATAGGTCTATGTATCTGCCATAAGCACATGGGTTCTATGACAATGATACAATGCAGAAAGTAAGCAGCTAAACCACATACATAAAGCTTTCAAGCACATATATGAATAAGAATTACTAGAAATACAATTACATGAGATATTCAAGCATACTAATGCTAAAACTAATCTGGTTTCTTATTTAAGTAAACATAGAAAGACTCTACCACCAGTAGAGATTTTAGCAAGTTTACTTTTCAGGCAGCCCTATGCTTCCCTCATCCTACTTGACCCTACATGGTATATTAACTTGGTTTCCCCTGAACATGTCTCCAGCCTCCATGTATCAGCTTCTTCAGATAATTTAGACAAAGAGCTTACTTCTACTATTTTCTGAACATCCACGTTGTCCAGGAAAGATACAAATCCATACCTGAAAAGAAAAGACAGGCTATTCAATAATCAGATTTGGATTTGTTAGTCAAATTATTTTGAACAAGAACTGTTAACAGCATATGCCAGGTGCATCATATTGCATGCCAAAAGTATCAAGTAGGACAATTTTATAATTCAGCGTAAAAACCTATTTACTGCTAACTAGCAGCATATACTACTGGGCCAGATGAAAAGAACCGACTGCCAGATTCTAGAATACTATGAAATAGAAACAAGGGCTGCTCTTCCATTTCAGCTACTCAAAATGAGCACTACAGTTGATACTACTAATTCAAAGTAAAAAAAAAAACCCTTTAAGATCTGAATTATCAAGTTTTATATTTACTAAAGAGATTTGGATGAAAGTAAATGTTCCAGAACAGCGACATCAGTAGGGGATGTGATCCTTGGCTGGGTTTTTCAACTTATTTCACTGGTCCCCTAGTTTATCTGGTCTAGAAAATGAAGGTAATTTCAGAATATTATAGGAACAGTTGTGTCAATTAATGGAGTATGCCAATGCATTATAAATATTCAGAACACACAATGGCTAACTGCATATCATAATTAAGACTAGCAAAGGGTATGAGGAAGTAATTTCCAGCTTGTGCATTACCGTGTATGCCCAAGGGCAAAAAAAAAGTGACTTTTTAGGGTCTGTTCACAGAATCATAGGGGAAAAAAATTGGGCTGGAATTTCAAGGGGTTGAAGCCTCCTTCTCAAAGCAGAAATAACTTCAAAGCTGGGAAAGCTTCCCCAGAAGCCAACAGGTATGGCCCTGCACAGTGTTTCACCACAGACAAATCAGAATTTTTGTTTTTTTTTAACACGTCTATTCATATAGATATATATATACTCAACAGGAATTTTGCATGCTTTAACTGTTCACTTAAGTTTCACTCTTCACCCAACCAGGTTTGGTTGTTTTCTCCATCTTATTCCAAAGTGTCAGAAGAGTGCAGCGCCACTGCCCTGAATAAGTCATCTACCCCTCCCTCTTAACCATCCTGAACTCTCTAGATTGTTGCCGAGTACTCTAGCCATCAGAGAAATTCTACAAAAGACCTGCCTCCATAAGCATCACAAACTTTTCAGCTTTGTTTCCACTGGTTAAGTGACAATGACCCTTTTCCCTAAGCAGACTGAAGTCCAAAAAATCAGGCTATTCTTCGTAAAATTACACAGATTTATGAGCTAGATTTACACATTTCCGTGTTAATTCACCACAACAGAAAACTGCAACTAGTGTTAAGGCTTAAGCCTGTCAAATGTGTTGCTAAGTAGTTGCTCATATCATCTATGGCAGAATTAGGTCCACATAGGCAGCAACTTAGAACAATTACTCATATTCTACTCACCCTTTGGAAACACCAGTTCTGTCAGTAATTATTTTCACCTCTTTCACAGCACCATATCGTTCAAAGAAACTCCGAATTTCTGCTTCATTCATCTAAAAGAAACAGAATCTTAAACATCTTCAAATACATTCAACTGCTCAGAACTGATTTATCAGTTACCCAACTGCTCCAAAGTTCTTTCATGATGCTGCACTACCTTAATCCCCACCTCATTTAAGTTCCCTGTACCTTATATCTTTAACAAATAAAAGTAAATACCCTTATATCAATTCCACCAACAAATACTGTGTTTGGCATGATCTTTCCTTCTGGCAAAACATATCCTTGACTGGTTGTTGACAAACGGGTATTGTCCTCTGAGGCACCTCCACACTGGGCCTCCATGTTTGCAGACTGAAAAATTTAAACAGAAATATGTATTTCAGTCAAATAATTATAGTACACTTTAAGATACTAGCATGCCTGCATCTTCCTATAGATATAGGATGGGACAATGGATTTCAATAGCACCTTTCTGATTCCTTAAAGGAAGCACTTGCTGCAAATGGACTATTCATTGCAAAAAACCTTAAGTAGTTATTCTAAGAAACTTTAAAAATTTCAATCTAGACCAAACTTCGACTACCTTAAGTAGCCCTGTCTGACTATATAAAGCTTCATGATCAGTGTTGCTACTACCAGACACAGTGAGAATGTTAAAATCATTTCAGAACTTCATCAAATTCCTTTCAGATGTAAGCAAGGAATTAAATTCTTTAAGATAAAACATACTGTGCAAATTAACTATTCAACAGAATAAATTTCATCATCTTCCTGGTCAAAAGCTTTAAACCCTTAAGATACACTTAAGCTTACAAACAGCCTTAGAACACAGGTAAGAGGGTTAAACTGCAAGTTAGCTGTAAGAAGAGCAATCAGACTTTGATGAGATATTCACACTATTCATTTTCTCAGGAGGCAAAAAAAAAATAAAATTGGCAGTTTAACTTCAGTAGGAATATGACTGACTACAAACTGTTTCCAAGTAGTCTACACCAAAGCAGGATCTTCTACATGCAGTGCATGTAGAGAAAAACTGCAAAGAACATTATGCTAGAGAAACTACAGTCACAGCACCCTTTGCACACCCAGACTTCAGATGCACCCTTTTGGTCCTAAAGTATTTTGTGACAACCTATGAGTTACAGATTCATTCGGTGTAAAGAAGATAAAATACTCACTAAACAAAGAGTAAATTCAGTATTTTGTTCAGATGAAGTACTGATGCTAGATGTGTTCCATACAGGTTTGAAGTGTTTTACAGAAAGGTATTTACAAGAATTAAAACACAACATAAGCACCACAGGCACTACACAAATTCAAACCCCTCATCTTATACAATCTTGAATGAATGGTTCTAGCTATGCACTATGCTTTGCCTGGAAAGCACATAAATAACTGACTAGTTCAGTATTACTCATCCTTCCACATCGATGAGCTTTTCCTTACGATTCAGCAACCTATCACTACTTCAGATACTGCATTTAACTTTGATTTAGCCAAAGTTATCTTGTATTTTGAAGCCTACGAATTTGCAGTAAGTAGCAACCAATTTTTCTATGCAAGAATTTTACATTTAATGCACATTTAAATGCAGCTGAGTGACAAGTACTCATTCAAACTAGACATCCAGAGTAAAGGAATGAGAAAATTACAAGAACCAAATCATTTCCCCAGCAACTGAACAAACCCAAACCTAGAACTCAGCCCTCCAAATGTGATTTCAGAGTGACTGAAACAAATTAACAACACACCATTAATAAAAACCAGAGAGGGTTTGGTTTGCCCACCACTTTTCCTGCATCTCCTCTGTGCAACTTCTAACATCTGCCAGTTCAAGTTAAGCTGGCTTAACAAAAATTAGCAGGAAGATTGACACAGTGTATAGTTTTTCACCCTTTTAATATTCCACTATTGTAGAGAACTGAATCAGCTTACTAGGCTATCACAAGCACCAGATCAATGGATGCAGAAGAGTAAATAGAGATGGAGGAGGCACAGCCACTTCTGAGAAGCACCAAGCCATCAGTTCAGTTCAAAGCTATTTCATAAAGCTATACCTTAAAATCTGCTTCCATCACAACAGATATTGTCACCTACACTCAATTTATTCACTGACTATGCTTCCTACTGCAAATTCTCAACAAAAATTCAATCCTCTCCCCTTTATCCTCCAAGAACTCCCTCTACCTTGCAGTGAGCTTGGAGACCCCAACCCTCACTCTTCCACAGTAATAGACTGCATAATAGAACATTACTGCTGTAAACAGAAAAAGGGTAGTTCTCCCCCATCTCTCCTGTTGTTCAAAAGCTTTTTACATCACTGTGCAAAGAAATCAATTCTACATTTCACAGGAGAAACATCTTGTAGTACTTTTCAGGCATACCCACTTCTGATCCAAGCACATTCTGTAGTTATATAAACACTGAACTAGCGTAAGAACAAAAGAGCAAAAATGAAGCAAGAAGTGAGGACACCACTTCTTTGGCTGCACCCCCCACCTAAGGGCATCTGAACTGAAACCTGAGACTCCAACCCCTCAGCAATCTTAAGCTGACCTAACTGCTAGCTTCTACTTCTCTCTTTCGGCATTTGTTTCAGTGAACCAGAGTAAAAGAGAAGCATTCGCTTTTCTGTGTGAATTCTCTCCAGCCTAGAACAGGAAACAGCTCACAGCAGAGGCACCCAGCAAGTGCCAGAAGCACCAGAAGTGGGTAAGCATACAGATACTGCTGATACACAAGCCATAGGTGACCTTGGAGGCACAGCATTTCCCACACTAGTCATGTAGAACAGAGTTTTCAATGAAAATACACTTATTTAATGCTTTTACACATTAAATGCCTAAAAGAGAAACAGACTACTTAGGCATTCTGGAAAAATCGTCAACATACTATATTTTAAGATGTGTTAATATGTGTGCCTTAGAACTCAAAAAAAAAAGTTACTGAAAAATGCACAGTGGTGTAAGTCTCATAGTACAACAAAAGGAAACAATCTCCTTTCAAAGTTACTTTTCAAGTTTTCAGTACTACAGTGCAAAACTCTGGATTGATAAAGTACTGTCCCGTCTAAAGACAAAGTTATTTTAGCAGCACAACCTTTAGTTATTTTACTACACAGCATTACGTAAATTATTGTGCTTCTATTTGCAACGTGGGCAAAGAACTCGCCCTGCTGCTGAGCCACCATCCAAAGCCCAAGCCACTTAAAAGTTTTCAAAATCTGGAAAACCCTTCAAGTGATGAATTTGCTACCTTGAAATTACAGCACCAGCTGAAGTGACCCAACCCTTCAAAAACACACTAAATGGGGTTGATTTGCCTTATCCACCTCTTGAGGTATATTTCAAATCACATTTCTAGATGTCAGGAAACATAGGGCTTAAGTTTTCCAGCTTTTTGCAGTTAATAGGAAGGGAGGAGAAGGGGGGTGTTCCCCACTTTTCCCTCATAGCAAGGTAAATTTAATCGGTTTGCTCTTTGCCGTTATCCCAGCAAGCATTAACTTGATGCCAGGAAACTGAATTAACCTCTTCATTATAGTTGCTATGAGGCTAGTTAGACTTCTGTACATTAACGAAACAGGGTGGAAAAGGACTATCCTTTGCGCCAGGTTGTGACCCACCTGGTAGTTACCCAAGTGGGTTAGAGACATCACTCAGCCTCACGCACATCTAGGAGGGGAAAACCTTCACTTTTAACCACACAAGTCCTCGATTTCGCAGGCTTCTCCCCACCTTTCCCCGGCCTCCCCCCCGTTAAAAAAAAAACGGGTATTAGTACATTTTGTTTTGTTTTCCCGCCTAAGTACGTCCCGCTCCGCAGCCCCTCTGAGCAGAGCAGTTACCATGACAGCACACTCCCTACAAGAGAACATGGCTCCCGCGACAGGGAGAACGCCTGCCCACCGGGCAGCAGGTGGCGCCATCAGTCAAGTACTGCAACTGGCGCCAGTACCTACGGACTGTGAGGCTTAAAGAGCCGTTTGGGTTTCTTTAATACCCTGCTTTTACGGTGCTATCGAAGAGCCTGCGTTACAGTCGCAAATTCCATTTTTTTTTTTTTTAAATAAAATCCCGAGGATGAATCAGCAACTCCCATGCTGAACCAGCAACGTGCGGGTTCCGGCAGTAGCCACCTCTCACCACGCGGAGTCCGCGCCGCGCTGCGCGAAGCCAGGTAAAAAAAAAAAAACACTAAAACCAGAAAAAACACCAGCGGGGAAGCTCAAGCAAGCGTGTTCGGAGCCGGCGAGGCTGCTGCTCCGCTCGTTCCGCCACGCAGACATTAGCGGCCGCACGGCCTGCGGGCTTCGCACCTCGCCTGCCCACCATTCCCGAACGAGGCTCGCAGAAGGGGGTTTCACACTCTAGAGATGTGCGGGAGAAGACAAAAAGGGAGGTGCCCCTATGGGAACAAAGGACGGTGTCTGAAAGCCTCTGACGCCAGCGGCAAGGGTTGCAGCCTGACCCTAACGGGAAGCTGGGGACAGACAGACCGGCTCCCAGCCGCTGCGCCTGCCTAACCCCGGCCCGCCAGAGCAGGTGGAGGAGCACCCTGATCAGTCTCTGCACAGAGCGGAAGGAGCCCGACGGTGGGGTACAGGGCCGTGAGGCAGCTTCACCACAAAATGGCCACTCGTGGTGTGAAGTGCCTCCTGTCTCAAAGTCCTCACAGGAGCTGCAAGCCAGGACGCTTTACCACACACAAACTTCACGCTTTTTAGTTCCGTATTGCTTCCCTGACTTTTAATTCCTCACTTCCTCTTAAAACTTTGAAGGTATAAAAAGTTACAGCAACCCTGAAGAGGTTCCGCCGCACCCCTCACTGCGTTAAGAGGTGACACTCCTATAGGCACCGCCGTCCCTCACCCTAAGAGCAAGTGAATGCGCCACTTTCCCGTCCTCTCACTGCCTAAGATCCCAAGCAACCACTACAGCCCCCCGAAAAAAGCCACCCCACGGCTCAGCGTTCAAGTGAGCCCTCTTCACCCACTTCCCACCATACCGACCATGACTCCTCTTTCGTCCTTCCCCCACTCACCATCATCCACGGAAACTGAGGTAGAGCCCACACACTAAAAACAAACGAAGCCTTCAAAACAAAAACAGCACCGATTTTCCTGAGAAAATAAACAGTGGACAGTCTCCTCTTTTTACCTTTTCCTTCTTTTTCCCCCCTCCCCCCAAGGTAGAGGAAAGCAGCTTCTCCTAGGTCCCACTCTGCCCCTTAAGTAGCCCCGAGTGGGAAGGGCGGGGAAAAGCCACACCCGCTCACAGCCGCGCGGCCTAAGGGGCAAGCCCGCGGATGGCCTCCTCCCACCCTGCACGGACGGGTCTGTGTGTCGTGTAGACGAAGGGAGTTGGGGTGCGTGGATTTTCTCTCCGTTAGATTCGGTAGGACTATTATTTCTGGCTTTGTTGTTGAGCGGGAAGTCACTTGTAGTTGAGTGAGGGTGGTAGTAGCGCACTGTTGCTGTTTTGAGCTACCACTTACTACTTGGGTTTGTTGAGGTTCGAGAGGTACATTGTTGAAGAGGAAGAGGCTTTCACTCGCTTTGAGACAAAAGCTGAAGCTTTTTCATGAATATTTGCGTGGACTCTTATTGTCTGTACTGAAAACCAGCCTGCTCTGTTCACCATTTGCCCAAGACCTTTCTAGAAGGAAACCTCTCTGGCAGCCCTTCTGGTTTTACAGTCATGCTTCTGCTCAGTTTTGGAAATGAGTTTTAAATGCTTGTTTGCCACTGGTATCAAGTGTTTAGGATTTTAGAACGTTTCAGGGAGAGGGGGTATGTGTATGTTAAATGTCTAGCCAGAATAAACCCAGCCACTGATTGGGATAGCTTAGTGAGGATTTTTTTTTTATGTGGGGCTTTCTAATGGCAAAGGCATGAGAATTAGACTTGTTTAGAATGAAAAATGGAAATACAAACCTAAACTAATAAACTGAAATGTAAGCCTTTTTTTTTAGGTGTTCAACTTTTTCAGATGCTGATCATAATAATCAAGTCTACCTAACATTTACTTAAATAAAATGGATTCGTATTTATCCTTAAGAGTGGCACTACATTAGTGCCACTGTTAAAGTGCAAAAAGAGTAAGTTTTCTTCTACTCTTGAGACTAAAACTGGTCTTTATAGTCCAAAGTAGAGCAGAAGCCAGATTGTGTGGTTTGGGTTATTTATTCCTCCCTTGGCCCTAACTAGAAGCTTTCTGAAGCATCTCCTGTTTGCTATTAGGTGAAAGGTAACTGACCTGGAAATTATAATACAAATCCAATTCTAAGAAAAAGAATTCTTTACCTTTTATCATGGAAATTGTGAGTACTGTTCTAGCAAAACTAGTGTGATTCCAATGCAAAAGCAGAGTGGTGTAGTTGCTATAAAAAACACCCCAATCTTTACCAAGGCATTATTGATTCTAATTTTGTGATGCTATCCTGAGCTTCTGTTGACTGGCTTTGGGTCAGGATGTCTCCCATTTTTCCTTAACTCGGTATTAGCTTCTAAAATTGGAGAACATCTGTTGCTTAAAACAAAGAAAAGAGGTATTTATTTTTCTGCTGCCAATACACGGATCTCAAAAAGGGTGGAGTGAGTGGAGTAGGAAATTGTCATAGTTTGTTTTATTGATATTGATACTGGAAGGGTTGTTGCTGAACAGCTTTGTTAAATGCACTAAGTAGCAGAATAAGAAACAAATTTTATGTTTTGCTATGCTGTACAGTACTTTTTATTTAATACACATTTAAAATACTTAGTATCTTAGACAAATTGTCTCCTGGAATCTTACTATTTCAAGTAATCTAGGAGCTATGACCAGTTATTGTTATGTCTCAGTGTTACCATAAAGATGTATGGCTTTTTGTCTTTAGTTAGTTGCTTTTTGTTTTGTTTGGGTTTTGTAATTAGAGTAACTGATAAATGAATACAATTCAGGGAGTGCCCCGATACAGGATCTGATAGGCTGCAGTGGGTAAGGATTCTACAAAAACCCTGATGAAAAATCATTTTCATTATAAATAGTGGTGCCTACATTTTACAATTTAATGATCAGAGGTACATACTTGAAATACCAGGTTAAATTTAGTTTTCCTAGAGGTAGATCTAAAACTGGAAAGCAAGTGTTGTATAGCATTTGAATGACAATAAAATTTCTTCGAACTCTTCTGCAATTTTGGGACCTTTTCTTGAGAATCATGTTGAGCCTTTCTGTAAGGAAATAATATGAACATAAGGATGTAAAAGAGATACTCAAAACAATAGAAGGTTCCACTTTTTAGACAGCTAGGCAAGCTTGCTTACAAAAAAGGTACTGAGTTACCAAATAGGGTTTGAATATCTGTTTTCTGAATTGCTATTTCATACTGAAGAGAGAATGCCACATACGTTTCACAGCAGTCAGCTTTAAAGGATCATGCTGTATTTAGTTAATTTTTGGACATATCCTTTACTGCTGTTTGCATTGGGCTAATTATTTAAGAGGATGTACTGTAATATTGTGATGAACATCAGTATTTAAAAATAAAAATCAAAACCACATGCTGTTATCATTCGCATTGAAATTCTAGTAGTTTTCATTGGCTTCAGTAAACAAAGCAGAATATGTGTTCTTACCGGCATGGTAAAATCCTTTGAAATGTGGTGGATCATATGCTGACTGATTTTTTTATTTTTGTTTTTTTCCTAACTCTGTAAGAAGTAATGGAACACAAATAACTTATTTTTAAAAGACACAGTAGCTGCATGTAGAAAATTTCAGTTACAGTTTTTATCCTTGATTTGGATAAAAACCAGAATATTATTTTGAGCATTACTCTAGTTAATTTTCAGAAGTGGAGTTTCTTTGGGAGCTTATTTTTCTAGTAACTGCATTATTTTAGAACACTTCACTTAGTCTGATAATAAATTTAACTCAATATAATATGCAAGCAATAATTTAGTGAAAATTTAACACCTAAACTGTACATACTTGAGTTATCCATAGTCTAAGCTGGGACAGTGCTAAAAGCGTTGTATGATACTGTTTTATGGTCAAGGTAATATTTAACACTATCAATTCATTTGATTAACCTTTAGGTATTTGAATTCTGAAAAGTTCATTACATTTTAACGTGCATAATTTTAGCACTGTAGGAAAGCTGATAAATGCTTTAGTGTGTACTGTGGTGCATGGCATGACTGGAAGACTTTAATACATTGTACAGACAGGTAATATTCTTCATCCAAACATTTTACAGTAATTAAATTCTTGTAAATTAAAATTGTGAATGAGGCAAGTGCATAAGAACATACAAAAATGGCTATGTGTGATTCATGTCAAAAGTGCCTCCAGTTCAGTATCTTTGTTCATGATAACCAGCAGAATTGCTCAGGGAAAGGATATGAAGGCAGGATAGGTGTTGGAGTGGTTTCTCTTGCTTTTATTTTCTCGTTATGCTTGGCAATCTCAAAAGCATTTATTGAGGCTCCTTTATTATTGCATTTGATAATACTTGATGCTTTTTCCAGTAAATTTCTTTAGTCACTTTTTGAACTCGATTTATACTTAGGCCTGCACAATGGAGTTTGGCACTGTAGGCATTGTTTGGAAAGAGTACTTGTTTGATTAAGCTTTTCTCCTGATAGTTTAACTAGAGCCATCTCATTCATGACTTAACAGCAATAACGTCCTTTTGTCATTCGACATTTTGATGCCATTCATGATTTTATAGGCTCTTGTCATAGCTCCCTTTCAGTTGTCTTAGATTGCAGACTGAAGTCTTACCTGGGTTCCCTCTTCCTTTTCCTCTTCAGGTCAGCAGCTTTCAGAACGGGTGAGCCGCCAGCTGCCTTGGCTTGCTCAGCCTCTTGCAGGGCAGCATCTCCTGCTTTTGTTTAAACTGGTCTGCCATCCTGTGTCACTAACTCCTGTGCTACAACACAGCCTCAGCGACAGCAGGCCACAATCAGCAGAGTTTTCCCAGCTATTTCATGCCCAAGGCATCATGCTGCATTCCAAACAGAAATCCAGAGTACTGTTGCCTAAGTGTGATGAAACCACTGAGACAGCTGAAGTTTGGAAGCCGGTATCTCTAGGTCTTTTCCTTAAAATGTGTTTCCCAAAGATGAAAAAGGCCAAAAGACTGATTTTATTTGGACTGATAATTAAACAGGAAAAGGGATTTCCCCCCAGCCCCTGAAAGAAAAAAAAAAAACACTAAATAAGGCAGAACAGAAATAAAATTTGTTCACAATCTCCCATTGCCATCCCATGTTTCCATAAATCAGCTTTATTAGGAGGTGAGAAGCTACAGAGCTGACTGAAACTGAGTGGACAGGCAAGGGCTGCTCTGAATTGTAACAAATTGCACGCATCTCTAGTTTCTAGGAAGAGTTTTTTCATTGCAAGAAGAGTTTGAATGTCTGCTTTTCTGCTGTCTGCTTGGGTGTGCTGTAAATTATTCTGCCTTTTCTCTAACCCTGCAGACTCAGAACATTTTTCTTCCTTAGCACGGTAGGAATGAGAGTTGCTTGCAATGACAGGAGCCGTGTCCCTTCAGGGAGTTTCACCTTCGTGCCTCTTGTGTTAAAAGAACAGAATGTAGAAGGTAGAAGTGACAAATAGAATGAATACTGTCCATCCACAAGTTTCACTGTTTGATGGCATTAATGATGTCATCTTGTCACATACTTGCAGAGAAGCACCCTTCAATCTGCTGTAGCAGAAAGAGGAGGAAGAAAAAGCAGCATCCTTTAATGCTTTTCTGTATATTCTTGAGTGGGATGCCAGCCTTTATGGCTTAGAGAATCCTCTCAACTCTCAGCCTTGGCCCTGATTGAGCACATCTTTTGCACAGCTGTTGGCTTCTGAAAGATTTCACTGTGCTTCAGGGCCTAATGGGTTCTCATGTGGTACACTATGTACTGTGGATAGTTTTTCCTGGAGAAACACTAAAAATCCCCCTCTAGTTCAGTACTATTGAGAACTAAACTGGTTATCCTTTTATGCCTCTGACTCCAAAGATACCTTTTTCCTACATGGTTTTAATTAATTCCTTATTGCCTAAATTTCAACCAAGACAGCAACAAAGCAACAACTTCCACAGAACCTGCATTTTATATTTGATGAAATAAACCCGACAACTTGGTTTTTCCTATTTTTATTTTTATAAAAAAAGTCTACTGAAGTGAATAAAACTGAGAAAGTGTCAATAGTACTTTTAAACCTCTTATGCAAAATCTTAATCCAAAATGCTGTTTACAGTATATGTTTGAAATGCTCTGAACTTTTTATTTCTGACCACAGATTAAAAATCCCATAGGCATTTGACATGATTGAAATAGTGGGCTGCAATCTTAGATGCACATCAGACTCTTGTACACTGATGCATAAAATTGGGAAACCTTGAAAAGAAAACTTAGTACATTGGATCTCCAGAGGTCTGCTTGTATTTTGAATCTTGACAAGCCTTTCTGATTTGGGTTATCTATGGCTTAAAGTCGACAGACTTCTGTATCATGTGATCTCTTAGATATCTTGGTCCTGATTTTTGTCTGAAGGTTTTGGCTTCCTGTTGCACTGATCTCTGCTTAGTGGGATTATTATTCTCTTAAATTCAAGCAAACCAGATTCTACTGTCTCTGAAATTTTCTATCCTATGTGCTGTGAAGAAGATGGAAAAAACTGTAGTGGATCTTTGTCATTTTTGCTCCTGTAAGGAGAACTATGTCTTGATTTAAATACCTATCAGTGAGTTCCTCACACCAATGCTGACTAACGCATTTGTAGACAGCAGATGGGAACCTACATTCAGTTTTTGGAAGCAAAATAGCTGATCCATTCTTAGGGTAAAAGAGCTTATAACACCGGTTTGAACTCTTTCCTTTGCAACATCAGTTTACTGTAGGACGCTTCCTCCCTGCTGGAACAGGGATTAAAGCTTCTTTAGGAAGATGTGCCACCTGTCATGTAAGGAGTCACCGGAAACCTTTCCCTATTCACCAGACGGCAGCATTTGTTATGGTATGAGGCTGCTAGACCTTATTTATGGATGCCATTAGGCTGACATCTTCCTGACTGAAGCAAGAAGGAAGACAGTGAATGATACTTATCACCTGCTGAGCTCAGTACTGGAATGGAATATTTACAGTAAACACTGCTGTGTTCTTTCTTACTAGGAGTTAAACAGTCAATAGTAGGATATTTGAGTTGTCGCTGGTTATTCGAGAACTAATAGTGGATTGAGTGAGCCCTTTAACGGCTATTAGAACAGTAACTACAGACCTTTTACAGACGCCATACTGAATAGTTGAGGATTATTTACATATGACTGTGTACAATTGACAGGTTTGCTGGTAAAGCTACCCTTGTACTGCTCATACCAACAAAGTCAAGTGATGTAAACAAAGTTCACGTCTACATGACAAATGGATAGCAAGGCCCATTTGCTGAACTATAAAACTAGAGGAGAAATAAGGTGCAATATCCAAGTTGCTTGTTTAATACAACTGCATTTGCAGTAGAATTCATAGCTAAGACATATATACTGCCAAAAAAACACCACAAACAAACAAACTTACATTTTAGTCTGTATAGCAAGCATATTATGATAAACATTGTTGCTGTGTAAGTAAATCATAGAATCACAGGCTCATAGAATAGTTAGGGTTGGAAAGGACCTTAAGATCATCTAGTTCCAACCCCCCTGCCATGGGCAGGGACACCTCACACTAAACCTATGAAATCTTTTGCAAACTTCATACATAAGCCTGCTTTCTAAAGCAGCTAGAATTGTGTGGGAAGGATGATAGCTTCCTAAAATGTGCTTTTGCCAAAGGAAGACAACAACAATGTTCAGATAGTTTCTGGTATTATGCCATGTTTTGTCTGTTGCAGTGTTGGTACTCACTAAGTTAGAAGTCATTCACTCCCTGCAAAGTACACCTGATTTGAGAGAATTTTCCTAATCCTTCACAATCTACCAGGTGAGAATCATATACTAAAATAATGAATAAGAACTATATAGGGTATTGATTGCATAAGGGTTATCGTTGTGTATCTGTCATAAGACTGATGTGTTTAGGGTTATAAAAAAAACAAAGTGCATTTCACTTTTTTTCTTTCTTAGCTTTTTTTCTCCACAGGATCACATTATCGTTTGGTGATCAGTCATCTGAATAGGCAACCAAAAGCATCGCTTTTCAAGCATTCAGAAATGTTTGAATCAAAGGAAACAAAGAATGGCAAGTATGAGAATGGGCTATGTAAAAGTCTTACAAATGTATTGTTAGTCTAGACTTATGTTATGCCCCAAAGACTAGGTGATGATGCTGTTGTGTTGTCTGCAGTACTAGTGGCCTGAGCTCTCTGAAACCCTTCCGGGAAAACTTAGTTTTTTCCCTTCAGTGCAAGTATGCTGAGGCACCTTATTCCATCCTTTGTGTCAGAACAAAGCCAAGGTGATACTCTTGTATGACACAATCGGGAGGGGCTGTTGATGTGGCATACAAGTTCCCTTGCATAAGACAGAGAAAAAGAGAGAGGCTTCAGTCCTGTGTGCCATCTTCTGATGTAATCTTTGTCATGCAGTTACTGTGGACTATGAGACAGTCCTGACCCTCAGCTAAGACCAGGTTATTTGTGAAGTGAGAGGAGGGAGACAGCTGCAAAGCCTGAAACCAAAAAGCCCTTATTCAGGAACTTGAGACTTTTGTGTCTTTTCACTACAGTGTATTTACTTTTTTTTCCTAAACCTATTGGAAAAGGCCAAAATACTACTCATTACTAATCAATATTTTTTAATCTGATACTTAATTTAAGATGCTCTCACAGGAAGATCCCTGCAGATAGACCTCTAGGCCAGCAAAGGTTGTTGTGAATTAAAGCCTACTGATTTGATTTTATTTTTTCTTAAATCCTATTTAGTCACAAGTAATTAAAATAGTCTACAATGATTCTGATTAATTCCATCTATGGGCAACACTAATTCCGGAACAAACTAGTTTGTTTCAAGTAAAATGGAATGAGGTGCTTCTGTAATAAGAATGGCCCCATATGGAATTAATGAGGAACAGTTCTATGTGTAGAAAGCCTTAATTACCTTTTGAATGAGTTTCATTTGCAGTGTCTTTGCTGGAATGTATATTTGGATCTATATATATATATATATATATATATTAGGATACTTGCAAATAGAGCACTAAATCTTTGTTTAAAGTTTTTGCCAGAAGTCTTCAGAATTTGGGGTTTTTTTTTTTCCTTTCAAAAATCAGAACACGAATTTTTAGGGTTTTAGTCAGTATGTTAGACTTTCTTTTTTAAGTTTAGAGTCTTGATTTTGCCCAAATAATAAATAGCGTAAACTTCTTACATGTTTTAATAAAGTACTCCAAGTAATACTGAATGTTCTGGAGTAAATTTTCACAGTCAGCTTTGTTTGCCAGAATGATTGGAAATTTCTTCATTCAGGTAAATTTATAGATTAGTATGTTAATATATACTTATGTTTATAGATCTTATCTGTTTGACAAAAAGAACATCATAGCCTAGTGGTTTGGTTTATACTGGTAATTAAAGTCTCTTCAGTTTGAAATACAGTCCAGTCCATACATTTTGATACAATCAAGTAGTAAATTTCATTGTTTTATCTGTGAACGTTACTTCTACCAGTGAATTGATACCAGTTACAGAATACAGAAGGATATCTTAAGACACACACACACAAAAAAATTATTTTTCTTTTAATTGTTTCTTTTGAGTGTTTGCTAGCAGTAATTTAGTTAGAGCTTTCTTTTTTCCTTGAATATTGAAGTTTTTTGACCATCTGGCTAGATTTCAATGTTAGTCTTGTGTTGACAGACATTTCTTTGTATTCAGTTAAAATTATCATTTTGTATGTCTAAATAATGTTTGTATTAAAAATATGGGATTTTTAGTGGTGTCTAGAAAACCACTAGTCAGCCCTGATTTATCACAATGACTTGTACGTAATAAGAGAGGATGCAGTGGTGGAGAACAGAGCAGATTCCCAATACTTCTGAGTGCCTATGTATATAAAATGTTTCCACAATTTCATTAATTATGCTTCTCTAAAGAAAGAAAGTCTCCTTTTAATTCTCTGCTTTTAATATTTTCTTTCCTTCCTGAATGGAATTGATGTCAAGGATACTTACATCGCACTGCATGACTGATATCCCCTGTGTGTGTCGCGCTAGAGTTAAGAAAGGTTAAGAAATGCTTATTTTTAGGGGGGAAAAAGAAGCAAAGCCCTCACAATCTCATTTCCAAACTGGACCATTAGTTTTCTTATTTAGTATAAGCATCAGTTACTACCTGCTTATAAAACTGTTGCTTAACTGAATTGTCTGAATTGTAGTTTACACTGTTTCTTTTGTATCATGCATTGCACAGGCATTCTTTGACTTGTTCATCAGAAGTATGTGAGGGTATCTGCTTGAAATTAGAAACTTTCTGTATGAATTGTGAGTGTTCATAACTTTGTCGTGCCTACAGTTTTTCAAAACATGGATACCTTCCCATAGTTGCCACAGCAGACTGGAAAAGAATTATACAGAGCAAAGTAAGGGGATGGCAGTTGTGCTCAGAAATAACTAGGTAGACTTGCATACTGAGATGGTAGTATCAGGCTAATGTAACTCAAGTGTTCAGGCCTGATAACAGTCATTCAGTATAATTAATCAAGATGCAATGTGTTCAAGACCTTTTTTCTTTTTAATATTAATAGCATTAGGGCTGCACATAAAACGAAGATCCTTTTGAAAGAGCATATTCTTGAAACTCTGTCCAGGGCTGTGAGAATAACTCCTGTTCTGACCCCAAAGAGGTTCGGTATTAAATCAAGTAAGAATGTTAGAATTTTACTTAGGACTATCTACAAAAGATCACATAGCCTTTAGATTATTTGTTCAAGAAAATGCTCCATGTTAAACTTACTATGAAACTAAAATTAAAAAAAAAAAGCGGGGGGGGGAAGGATTTAAAGAACTCAATACAGGTGGAATTGTCACCTCTATTCCTTCTTTACCTTTGGAAGGTGGAAAACAATGAAAAACAATGAAATTTTACCTGGCATTTAACTTGCCATTGTATGCTGTAGGGCTGATAGGCAGAAGCATGTGAATTTGGCAATATAATCGCTTCATCAACCTTTGGAAACTCTAGTTGTTTACATACCTGAATTGTAGCTTCTCAGAATTGACTTATAGTGACAGTTGATGAAAAATGTTATTTACGGATCTTAATCTTGGCTTCAGGTATTTGCTGCTATGAATGTAGATTACTCCAGATTCACACTTGAACAGAGTAATGAGAAAACAATCTACTCCAAAAGAAAATACAGTATGTATTTTGTTGTTATTAACATTACTGGAATCTTCCCTAGTCTCTTTGTGCATGCTGTTGTCCATCCTCCCAAACCTTCTGATTATCTCTTTGAAAACAGATTCTGACATGCTTCAACTTTCTTACTTAATGAGGTGGTTTCTCAGTCTTGGTTAAAGGAAGATAGGAAAGGAATTTGACAGTTCATTTTGGAAGCAAGATTTTGGGCGTTTTGCTTTTTATTCCCCCTTTTCATTTGCTTAGTCACAGTGGAATCTTTTCTGTCAATTTTGAATTACTCTTCTATAGAAACTGTTTCTATAGAAATTTTTAACAGTCCTAAAGGCAATATGTGGCCCTTTTGAACACTTTGAATATTGGGTCCAGCTTAATTTCACTGTGCATAACTGCATGTCACAGTTTACTGTTGTGTAGAGGTAGGTGAGTTAGTTCAAATTGTTATTTACAAGAGCAGAAATGATCTGACCAAGTTGATTCAGAGCTTAGCGTAAGTACTGCTGTACTTGGAAGGCACAAATGGTGGAATAAGGCCTCAGATTTGCTGGTGAAGGAAAACTGTTCAAAGAAGGCTGAACCCTATAGAACTAAGTCCTTTTAGAAAAGGATAAAGTTTAGTGATATGGCAGTACTGACAGCCCCCAGGTTTTTTCCACTGCTTTCCGAGGCTGTACATGGGCCTGTAGAAGTGAGGACTCTGACATTCCGTGCATCCTGCACAGCAGCCATTGCTCTTGACAGCCCCAGTAAACATTTCTGCGTATGTATTGTTTCCACACGTATAGTTACCTGTTGCTGAAGCCAGATTTTCTCTACTTCCAAGCCAAGCTGCTTACACTTAGTTTGGTCACTTCTCTCATACTTCAGGATCTGCAGTAAGAATCCTGATAGGTGTCACATGCATTTAGTGCAGGGTACTGAGTTCTTGTCATCCTAGGTAGTTCTGTCACTCTAATCCTTACATATGACTGGGCCTCGGAAGCAAATCTTGATACCTTATTAGTGATCCTGTCTCACGTGTTTAGAATATTGACATTTCAAGCATTCAAAAAAATCATATTTTAGGAAACAAGTGACCTTTATGTGGCCTAAAAATTAGAAGCTTGGGAAAGATGCATATTTCTAGTTCTTTTTGACTGCTTTCTTGACTTCCAGTGGATTTGCATTTTCAAGCTTTTTTAGCAACCAGAAGTTAGGCCTCCAACAATAATTGGTTTTAGAAGTATAACATTTTATAAAAATACTTTGTCATAAATTTCTGTGTGGGTGTCAAGCTTTTGCAGTGCATGTACTTTATTTTTTAGGGGTCTAAATGGCTAATAATCAGACTGTAAAATTGTGTAGGTTTTTTTTGTCATTAAAAAATTTGGCATTCACATGGTTCTGTTAGTTTAAAGAATAATAAATGTACCACCTGTGATAAAAACTGCACCTGTTACTGTACTGCATTATCTTGATGCATCTACTTGATATCTGGCTTTATCAGTTTTGCAGTAGAGCAAGGGGACCTGAAAATGCCCATATGAAACCTTAGTGAGATAAAATCAGTTTCAGAGAATAAAGTAAGGTTTGCAAAGTGAATTATGTCCTTTATATGTGTTAAAATACTATTTCTGATGCAGAAATTAAGATCTACTTACTATTATTGCTATGATGAATGTTCTAGAGGTGCCTAAAATAAAGATACAAAACAGTTACACTTGACTTTAGTGTTCATGTCCAGAAAACAAAGGAATATCTAGCAGATGGTCAGTACTAAATATTGTTGACCCATCTGACATTTTAGTTTGACCTTGTGTAGTCTGCACTAAAGCACTGGAAAGGCAGCTCTTTAACAACTAATTAGGTAAGACAGAGTCAGAAAAGACTTAGTAGGTCAGGATGCTTCTAGTTAGGAAAATGAAATAGAAAAGCATAAGGTATATCCAGAATTGTGTAATAAAAGTCTTGGATTTTAAAGCTAGCAGTTCTCACATGTTTTCAGTCCTAAGTCTACATGAGCTATTCACTGAGCAAGTTAACATTTCTATAATAATTTCATCAGGCACTGACCTTAGATAGCTTGCTGTGCTTGCAGTCCAGCATTAAAATGAGGTGAGGTCCTTGACTATAATGTTGAAATAACTGCAGTGGACGTGATGCTACTCAGGCAATTACTGGCAGACTTTTGCCTAAAAATCTCCAACAAAACGTGGCTTTGAACACTGCCAGGGATGGGGCAGCCACAGCTTCTGTGGGGAACCTTCATCTTCATTAAATTAAAAGTGTATTTTTAACCTGCATGACCTCAGAGGAGGACCTGTTTTTCAGAACTCCGTTCTACATGGCTAAGAAGTTGAAAACCACCAGGGAGTCCAATTTCTGCTTTGCTGGTTCTTATGAAAAAAATTAATATTTTGTCTTCATTAGAGCTTGAGCTCATCTTAATTACCATGCCAGTTCTATACTACTAAAGCTTACTGGTACGTTGTTTTGACTAACCCTAAATATAGTTGTGTCAACATAACTCTTGATAGTTTGTCAGTGTTGTTTATGTGGGTGATGTCCAGAAAAAAAGTGCTCGTGTCCTGCATTGTCACAAGGAGTGGTGGCAATTCTTCTGTTACAGAATAGCTCTTAGCCAAATCAATGTAAGCGTGTGAGGAAAAGACAAATGCCATGTTGTGTTTGGAACAAACCTTCTGATTGCAGCTAAACCCATACTATTCAGCTTGTCTGAAACTGAAATATTCAAATCAGCAACATAAATGGTTTATCTAAATCAACACCTTTTGAAATGTCAGAAAAACAGTGCCAATTACAACCAATTTAATATTGACTTTAACCAGCATTTGTGGTTTTTACTTTAAAGTCAGACTTGTTAAAATATATGTAATCCTAATAGTTCTGATACTGATATTATGGTTACTGAATAGTCACAGCCTTACTCAAATAAGAGGAAATTGATTTTTGACTCAATTGTATATTCAGCTTTGCTGTGTAGTTTCCCTGGTGGGCTCTTTAAAACTTGAATATTATATATAGAATCTGAGTTGGACTATGACAATCCTCCGTTGCACAGATGCCATGATTGCTTTTTAGTATCCATAGTTGAGGAAAAAAACAATTAAATGACAGTAGTTTTATCTTGGTGTTTTCAGACATGATTTATTAGTTTAACTGTAGTTTTTGTTAGCTTTTCCAAATGTATTGAAGCTGCCTTTCCACACATTTCCAGCTGACTTAAATCCATTCACTGATGTAACCCTGCATACAAACTACTTTCATAACTATGTGAAATAAACACTTCTGTGACAGGTGAATGCTGCTTAAATCAGAAGCAGAAGAATCCTATTTCCCGAAACTATTCAAGAAGTAGAAACTTGATGGTCAAGGTGTAATTTCAAGGTAGCTCCATTTTCCATATGAAGTTTAAAGTGTTTTTGTTTACTTGTGATGCAGCTTCTGCTAAGAACACAGGAGTGAAGTGTGTATGAGTGAAAGTATAAGCGACTTTGTACACAGCTAAATGAACTTGCATAGTAGACTGCTGAAAAAAATACAGAAAAACTACACAAGAGCTATGTTTTATAGTCTTCCAGCGAAGATTTTTACTGTTCTATTTCTGTGATAGAGCAGACGTCAGGAAGGAGAATAAAATCAGCCTTGGTGCCCATTCTTAACTATGACAAGGAATGGACAGATCAGGGTAGTCTCATTTTGCCCTTCATTTCTTTAACATCATCAGGGAGGGAAAAATTGCAGTACTGTTGCAGCAGCCGCAGAAGAGCCCTGTGCTGTTCAAAGCCACCTCTGACAGAGGTATTAAAGCCTTTATCCTTCATTTTGTGCACATGATAGCACAAAATCTGAACTTTCACCTTTTTTCCGGCGTCATGATTATGGGCCTGATTTTCTACATTTTAGCTAGGTTATTTTTTCACTAAATTTAGCTGAGTTAGAAGTTACACAGCTATATACTGGAATTACTCCTTCTTGTCAGTAATTCAAGACTTAAACCATTACAATTTCACTGACATCAGTGAAAGTACATAATGTTGGCCAGTAATAGTGTAGCTGAGGAAGGATTGGTATCTGCAAGTTTTCTACCATGTGTTATTGTGGGAATCAAAACAAAAACTGAACAGAAGGTCCACCTTTTTGTGGTCCTTCAGTTTTTAATGTATTACTTGAAGGGGTGGAGAGAGCAGTTGGATGCAATATAATTACTGAAGCTTTTATATTTTTTTTCTAGCTCATATGTACGAGCTCTCGTGGGAGAGATGGAGACTTTCAAGCTGTTGTCCACTTAATTTTTATGTTCTCTCAGGTGTTACAGTACTAAGTTGTATTTTCATGTGAAATCACTATGCTTTAGCTATCTTATCTTCCTTATTCTGTCTCATAAAATTCAAGTGACTAGAAGTCACTGGATGGTTTTATGTGGGACTTCGCGTACACAGGAGAGTTGTATTCACATGTCAGTCACTTTACATTGTAATGACCTTATCCACTCGGGAATTATGAAAAGATTCAAAAAGTTCTGGTGATGAAATATTTCAATTACAGTATTTTCAGGCTTTTGCTAGAGATCAAGGGAGTTCCAAACTGAGACGCTACTCTGTGATCTCAGCCAGGACCTCTTGACAGGTCAATAGTAAAGGCAAGGAAATGCTTTTAAAAGAAAAAGAACCAACTAATCGTGATTCCTTCCTTATTGGGTAGCTGCCCACATCACTGTGATAAGCCATCACTTCTGCTAGCTGGCGACTTGGAAACCAGTAAGGCTTTTGATAAAAGAACTTGTTAAAAGCCAAGAGCTTTTCTCAGGGGAAAAGAAAAGGCTAACTGAATTTCCAAGGTTTAATAAATCATGGACTTGAAATACGCACTCAGCCTTACAATCTTGTCTTCAGTTGTCTTCCTAGTACTGGGATACTCAATCTATTAACCTTGCAGAAAACACTACAATTGGTAAATATTTTTTAATTGCATTTGTCTTAATTGCAAATAATCACTTT